TATTCTAATAGCGGTCTTACATACGTGCCATATAAGAGTAGAAAGTCTTCTTTATCAAAGCGAGGGAAGGAGAGCTTGATAAAGTTCAGTATCCCAAAAGCCTTTTTTCGGCTTTTTGGTGGTGGCAAGAAAAAGATAAAGAGTTAGATAGCCAGAAGCCAAGGATCTTGTGCTGGTTGACAGTCTGAAGTCGAGATGTGTTGCACACATTGAAGGTGCGCGCGCGGCCCCTGCTGAAGGACATACTTACACATTTATCATCATTTATTGGTAGGCTCCAATCTGATCAGGTCAGGTCAGGTCAGATCAGGTTTCTAGGACGAAAACAGGCTTTCGCCTAACGTGCGTCCAGATTCAGACACCANCCCCAGCGAGCAACATTACCAGGGGTTTACTTCAGGTGATACTGTTTAGAGTTAAGTCAAAAAGGTTTACACAGGGAGGAAAGGTAAGAATATGAAACTAAAAGTACTATTGTGGAGTCGCACTTTCGCACTCATATTAGAGACCGGCAGTTGTGGCACATTCAGCGCTGGCCAGCAAAGGGAGCATCGTGTCACTTTTTTTGTGCGATGTTTGTTTCTTGTATGCCTTCGTGTGCTGCAATGATGAGTGGTTTGCTTAGATATGTTCGGGTGCATGCTGTATGCTATACAATGTATGAGAGCGTGGTGGGCTTTTCGTGCGCGGCGTGCAGTAGACCTTTTATTATTTTTTATAATCACAATCTCTTTTTTTGTTGTTTATTTATTTTGTTTTTGATTTCCTTATTTCAAATTCTTTTATATATATATATTTTTGATGACCATGCTTTGGTGATATCCATGGTTGCCTACACTGCTGTTGTGCCACTCCCCCAGCTTGTGACATCGTCAGCATAGATAACAATGTGGACTGGGATTTTGTCCGGGAGGTCATTTATGTTTAAGATGAAAAAGAGTGGGCCTAGAACGGATCCCTGGGGAACAACCATTGTCATTGGGGAAGAGTTGGAGAAAGAGGTTCGTGCTCAAACAGAGGAGGAGCGCGAGGATAGAAAGCTGTATAGAAGATTAAGAAGCCTGCCTTTAATACGATACATTACCAGCTTGTGCATTAGTGGAGAATGTGGTACTCGATCAAAGGCTTTGGCAAAATCTATGAAGATTTCATGTGAGATTTTACCATCATCATTGGCATGGGTTAGACTTTCCATGACGTATAGCACACTCGTGATGCATGATCTGACAGGAACGAAGCCGTGTTAAAAGGGAGAAAGAAGGTTGTTTTCCTTCAGGTGTTCAATAATGTATCCTAATGAGACGTTCAAAACTTTTTCTAGGGACGGCAATTAGACTTATCGGTCTGTAGCTGCTGGCGTGATACCCCTTTTGTAGATCGGTGATATGGTAGTCCTTTTCCAGGCATCAGGGACTTAACCTTTATCTAGGTAATTTTGAAACAGCCGCCCGAAATGTGGGGCTAGTACAGCTGCTGTCTCTTTGAGTATTCTCGGATGGACCTCCTCTGGGCCTATTGAGCTATAGGGCTTTAGAGACTTTAGAAGTATGAATACTTCTTTGGTCTGAACAATGAAGTGCTCTAAAGGGGCTATATCTGACTTAGGCTGTAGAGCAGGAAAGAAGGTAGGTGGAGCGGAGTTGAAAATATCTTGGAAGTGAGTTCGGAAAGTATCCACTACCGCTTCAGGTGGGGTAATTGGGGAACCGTCAGGAAGTTTCAGGGCTAGAGTAGAGGAACTGGGTTGCCTTTTATGGCGAAGGTTGAAGAGGCAGGAGGGTTTCTTCTTGCCCTGACTAAGATATCTTTTTGTTGCCGGTTGAAGAATTCCCTGATGTTGCTCTTCCTTAGGTTTCGGATGAGTTTGAATCCATCCGCGTTACTAGCCAAGTTTGTGAGCTCGTACCTTGCAAAACGGACGTTCCGTTCGTCCAGAAGCCGACGTATTGAACGTTCAAGAAGAGGGCGGCTTTTGGTTGGGATAAATACCTTGGGAACGAACAAGCAATCGCCGGTTCGGAGTACGTTCTCAATGTGATCATTGAGTCCGTTTGGTTCTGAAGACAGGTTAGCAGAAGTCAGATTTGCTGCCAAGTAATCTCTTGGAGCAGCGAAGTTGGTCCGCTTAAAGGACTGCAAAGCTCTTGGTTCTAACTTGTAAGGTGGCCAGTGAACGATGGAGTCAAAGCTCAGGAAAGAGTGGTCATTCTTACCAAGTGGGCAGAGAGTGTAGACCTCGTCGATTTGGTGCCGATTGTTCGTTATCACCAAATAAAGTAGAGAAGGAGACTGTCCTGGGAGAAATCTGATGGGAGAGAATGCATGTTGGTGCCTTGATCTCTCAGTAATAAGGTCTAGAAGGGGCTGACCAAAGAAGACGTCACTGGAGTTTGTTCTGGCCTAGTCAGTAGCCGGAGCGTTGAAGTCGCCGGTTATAAGGACGTGTGTAGAGACGCAGAAGGATCGAAGATAGCGAAGTTGGTTTAGAAGGGCCTGTGCCTGTGTCTGGTCGTTGGTTGGGGAGCAATAGATGACACCTAATAACATGGAATCTCTGTTGGAG